ATAGACAAATGAGTGAAAAATCCCCGACCTGTCTTAGAGTCAAGACTCATGGTATCTTGAGTCTTCTCTGTGCTCCAGACAGCACCCAGGCCTCTGCACAGAGGAGATCCTTATGAAGTACTGGGTGACTAGTTTTAACATCCCAGCATTGGCCCTGGAGTCATTCAAGGCCAGAGGCCACACAGTTGCTTCCTCCCTGTACCCAGGCATCATCCAGCCCAAGCACCAGCACACAGTAGGTCCTTAGGAGATATACATTAATAGGCCAGGTAAATTAATGAATAAGTGAACATCCTTAGCACCAGCCCTGAATCAGAGAGCATGCGTCCTCATTCCCTCCTGGAATCCAAACTGTCTGGCCCAACCCTCAGCACATAGTAGGTCCTTAAGAAGCTCCAGGTGACAATAATTGTACATACCAGCATCAACCCTGGAGTCATTCAGAGTCAGGGATGACACAGCCAGTTCATCCCTATGCCCCGGATGTCGCGGCCGGCGCGACAACACGACCAGGGTCGAGAGAGCAAGAGGATGGTGAGACAAAGACGAGACGCAAAGAAATGGGGACAGGAGGGGCAAAGTGGATGATGTCCAAGCTGTGCCAATTTTATTCAAGGCTGTGAGGCATTATATAGCTAACAGAAACAATTATAAGGAAGTATCTATTTTTAGCTGATTACTAAAGAATTTGCAACATGCACAGAAAACCCTTCAAGCTTTCCCATTATCTATTTCCCAAGGACTAATAGCAGACGCTCTGACGCCAGTGGTCTCTGTCTTCAGATAATTCTTGAACCAGGTGCACTATCTTCAAAGTGGCTCAAGACATAGTTTATGGCCCATGCAAGGACAGCACAATCCCACAATGGTTTAATGAGCAGGCCTGTTTTGCCCATTCCAGATAAGCACATGCAGGCAACCACGTCAGCGAGTCTTAGGATCCATAGCTCAGGCCCTTTCTCAAGCGCTGCTCAACTTTTCCACCCACACGGCTATTAGCCCCTGGGCTTCAAGGAGGCGCGAGTTGGGGCCTGGTTTGGTCTCTTGACTCTAGCCCAGTCCGCGGCTGCCTACACCCAGACATCTCCCAACTCAAGTGTCAGCACACAGAAGGTCCTCAAGAAATAGAGTGAATGAATAGTTGAACATGCCCAGCCCCAACCCTACAACCATTCAGGGCCATGGGCCACACAGTCTGACTCCGCTTTCTGACCTTCACCCAGCTGAGGTGCTCTGCACACAGTAGGTCTTCAGGGAGTGCTGGGTGAATGGATGAATGAGTGCAATGGGACCCTCGTTTACAGACATAGGCCCGAGTTCAGTCACCACAGAGACCAGGGGAAACTTGCCCTTTAGGGCAGAAAGGATGGAGGTCCGGGACTCTGAGAATGGGCGGGACCATATTTGCCAACTTAAGTGATGTTCCCTCCCCCACCCCGCACACAATGTGTTCCCCAGATACTTTATACAGATACTTCCCTGGGTCCAACACGTCCCATTCCAGGAGGGAACAGAGCAGCTTCAAGAGCATGGGGGAGTGGGTCGGAAAGGTGTGGGGTCCCACCAGCTGGCATGGAGAGTTCCCAGGAAACACAAGCTGAACTCTGCAGCCCCCTCCCCCAATTCAACCTTCCCAGGACTCAGTTCCCCCAGGAAGACCCAGCAGAGGAGGACAGACCAGAACCTCATGAACCCATAACTGTCCATTGGTTATACAGGCTATGCAGAGAGTGACCAGTGGAGGGAGGTGCTATTTGCAGACGGTGGTGGAGGCTTGTCTGAGGAGACGTTGGAGCAGAGCACTGCAGGAGGTGAGGGGGCCACCTCAGCTTCTGGGGAAAGAGCATTCCAGGAAGAGGCCCATTCCAGAGTCAGTGCAAAGGTCTGGAGGCAGGCACATGATGGGTTTGTTCAAACATCAGAAGGCCAGTGCAGATGGGATGGAGGGAGGGGTGCAAGCGCAGGCCAGTTCCCTCAGGGATGGGCGGCCACTGTGAGGAATTTGACTTTCACCTGCTGAACTGAGTGGGTTAGGAATGGTCTTAATTACGGTTTTATGGGACCCATCCGGTCTTGGAGAATGGAACATCACGGTTGGTGGGTGGATACTTCCATCATCAATGAAATGAGGTTCTGGCATGTGATAGAATCCAAATGAATGACCACTGCTTATATGATTTACATTATTTTCATGATTATTTCCCACAAATTTGATGAAGACTTGCGGCACAAACCGAAGTAATCAGCCCACAGCTCCCACAGCATCCCCTCTGGCCTGGACATCTGGGACGGTCCCCATGGCAGCTCCTCATTTCCACCCTTGCCCTGTCCTTCCTGTCCATTCTCCGCCTGTTCCCATGACAACTTGTTCCTGCCTTCAGCTACTATTCTCTCCATGCCTTACTTCAAGGTTCCAGTTCTTGTGGCAGAGAAGGGGTGGGAGGTGGGACTGGGTGTGATGAGAGTCTGTCCCATGTCCCCCACTTTGCCACTTGGACGTGAAGGTCAGTGTGGTGGTGGTAGCCATCCTCCCAGCCATGTGGAGAAAAAGGAGGAGGTCATTCCTGAAAGAGACCATAGCCCTGAGGTCAAAGAGGAGGAAAGGTTTTAGTGATATTTTTAGGCCCCAGGAACCAGCTATAAATTAAGCCAGTTTCCTCCCGAACTTTGGTGGTGTAACATGAATCAATAATTAATCAATAACAAGTTTGAGCTCCTTCGAATTGAGCTTCTGTTATTTGCAACCAGTAAATCCTAATGAATGTAACAGCTGCGGCTTGTGTTTCTTTTAAGGGACTGTTCTTGCTTGTCGGACGCAATGGGCTGGCGGGAAGGATGGGGAGAGAGAGCGTCCCAGGCTTCTTCCTGTTTCTTTACCTGTTTCTTTGGCAAACCCAGGAGAGGCCACAGGAAGTCCTATCAAAACAAAATGATGCAAATAGTCTAAAGACACACACACGTGAACGAAATACTGGAATATGGAAATACTGACCTCTCATGAATGAAAAAGCAGGATGGAAATACTGACCTCTCTCAGACAAGGTCAAATAAAAGTCAAGACGATCACTTTCTATCTCACAAAGGACCCAGAATGAGGTTTGAACTATACATTTATTGCGTGGCTACTCTGTGCCTGGCCTTGTGCTTTACCTTTACTCTTGAACTGGCAAAGGCGTAACAGTCCTGTAACTTGTAAGCATCAGATAACACGGTGGCTGAATACATAAAGCAAAGGTTACAAAAATATATCGACAAACATAGTCATAGTAACAGATTTTCACACCCCCTTATTGGCTTTTGGCAGATTAGGTGAGCCAGAATTCAATTAACACATGGATCTAATCAATATAACTGATAAGACTGAGTTAGTTAACAGACATGTAGAGTTTTGACTCCTACAGACCAAAAATACATATTCACCTTAAATGTACATGTACAAACAGTGGGCATGTTGTAGGCCACAATAAAAACTTTTAAGGAGGTATTGAACGCAGATATATTAGAGACCACATTTTGTGTTCACAGTGCCATAAATTATTAAAACAAAACTATTTTTAAATAAACATGATCACTGAGTTTAAAGCACTCTTTATATCGTAGAAACACTACAATATAACCTTTAGACAACAACATAAACAAGAACACAGGTTACCAAACTTTAAGATGTGGCCAAGGCTATAATCAGAAGTAATTTATTATGAAGTACACTACTTCAGCAAGTAATTTTGTAAAAAGAGATTATAAATGAATTAACTATTCAACATAAAAACAGACAAAGGAAATAATAAAATCACAAACTAGAGAAATATGGGCATAAATAAATCCCAATGCTAGTCCTTAGAAAAGTAATCGTGGATGAGGTAAAACTTTGATAAATCTAATAATGGGTCAACCACAAACAGGAGTTGAAAGGGAAAAGAGGGTTAGAACAAAATAAAGTTTTTCATTTAATTATAGAACAGTATTCATAGGGCGCTTGGGTGGCTCTGTTGGTTTAGTGTCTGCCTTCAGCTCAGATCATGATCCCAGGGTCCTGGGATGGAGCCCCGCATTGGGCTCCCTGCTTCTCCCTCTCCGACTCTCCCACTTGTGTTCCCTCTCTCGCTGTGTCTCTGTCAAATAAATTAATTAAAATCTTTAAAAAAAACAGTGTTCATAATTCAGCTAACAATCTGAAAAGTTCAATGGAATGAAGAATTTCCTAGGGCATAAAAATCACTAGAAATCCACCAAAATTTATGAAGTAAAAAGTATTCATAAGTCAAGAGCATGGGAAGAAACTGAGAAAGCCCCCCAAGAATTAGCTGAAACGTTCTCCCCAGAGCAAAGGACCCTGATTCCTGGTGAATTCCTTCAAAATGTCAAGGAAGTGATACTCCTTAAGCTACAGAAACTACTCTAAGGCTTAGATAACAATAAAAGGGACGTCCTTCTATGATGCAAGCCTCGCCATGTTACCAAAACGTGACAAAGATAGCACCGATCTTACGTATGAAGAGAGAGGCAAGAGTCGTACATAAAACATCAGGAAGTACAATTCAGAGTCTGGAAAGATTGGCCTACCACGATCCTAAGACTATCAAGATGACGTGATATTGGGGAGTCTACCAGATTTCATCAGTCCCAGTTGCACTTTCTTTCATCCTCTCTGAAGCCGGAAAGCAGCTTCCAGTTGGTGGGATCCTACCATGAAGCAGAATGCTTTTCTTCTCAGTCATATATAAAATAATATGTGTTTTACAATCAACGATGTCTTAAGTTCGATGAAATACCATAATGCAAAACCTCACCCCAGGAGGTTAAGTAAAAAAAAAAAAAAAATCATCAGGTGCCTGGGTGGCCCAGTTGGTTGAGTGTCTGCCTTGCGCTCAGGTCGTGATCCTGGATCGAGTCCCGCATCAGGCTCCCTGTTCAGCGGGGAGTCTGCTTCTCCCTCTGACCCTCCCCACTCTCGTGCTCTCTTTTATTCTCTCTCTTTCAAATAAATAAAATCTTTTTTAAAAAATCATCTTGATGGATGTTTAAAAGGCATTTGCTAATAAACCTATTGCTGACTTTTAACCAAGATGTTTCCTTAACAAAAAGAGTGATCAATTTCAGAACAATCGTCCGCATCGTAGCTAAATGTGGAACATCACAGGCATCCCTGTTAAAACCAGGAACAAAAACAGGACACACACTACCAAGACTATGGTGGTTTGCTGTGGAGCTTTCGACCACTCCACAAAGCCCTGGAACAGAGAAAAAAAAAGTATATTAGAAACAGAGGGGCCACCATTATTTCTTGCCTGGTATAGCGTTATGAGCTCCATACACCTTTGTCAAATGAACACAGGAGTGGAAAGACATACCAGGATGAAGGATGGAAGACAAAATGGTCAATGGCGACAATTCTGCAGATTCGTGATGAGCACAGTGCAACAGGTCTTAAAATATCAGGGAAGTTTGGGAAATGGATATGACATAATGAGTTATCTAGAAAGTCAGTGGCGACATGAAAAAAATCCTGATGAAGAAGAGAAGTGGATGCAGCAGATACTATGGAATGTCCGACACAGCAGCTCTGAGACCTGGCAAAGCCCCAGAAAAACTTGGAAGATATTCCTCAAATATCGAGGTTTCCCCCTTGGATTTTTCTGATGCAGTAAATCTTGGATAGGACCAGAAAATACAGATTTTTATGAAGTTCCTCATAATTTACGCTACAGAAAAATAGGACAACTTGACAAATATTTATTTTTCCGTGGCAACCACAACACCAAAAATCTGACAATTTCTCAGTTGGGGAAATGGGTACAACACAGCACATTACAAAGTATTTGCCAGCTGTAAAACGTCAATTTAAGAAAGAACAAAGGTGATTAATATATATATCAACACGGAGAGTTATCCAGAATATTTATAATGAAGACACCAGATGGTAGGATAGTAATTTTGCTACAATCTCTTTTCGGAGATTTGAAGAAACATATGTGAGTTATTGTAGGCTCTGTTCAGAGGAAGCTCAACAACAGGCAAAACTAACCTATCAGAAACCAGAAATGTGGTTGCCTCGGGGTGAGGGAGTGAGAGAGACCAGAAAGGAAGAGGAAGGGATTTCCTGAGAAAATGGCAATGTTCAAAATCTTCATTTGGAGTGTTGGTTACACGTATACACACTCACGGATCTGTGCATTTTACTGGAAATACTTAGGACAATTTTTTAAAGCCGAGTACGAAGTTAAGAAAGCATAATAAATACAGAAGGTTTACACACACACACACACACACACACACACACACCGGACCACTAATAATAGACCCAACAGTGCCTCCCAATTGCTCTGCATATCGGCCGCTAGCCATGGTTTATGGCTGATGTCTATGCCTGCCCCCTTCTGAGAAATGCCCTTCGCTAACGGGAGCCACCTCCCCAAGGAAGCACACGGGAGGACGTCCACACCCGTGATGGGGCTTAACAGGGCCCCCACTCGCTCAGAGGAGGACGAGGACTACTGAGGCTCCAGAGCTCCTCCTGAGCTCGGGCCCAGGCTGAACCCCAACTAAACTCCCTCTCAGTCCTTCCAGCTTCCCTCACCACCTACAAGTTCCTCCTGGGAGCACAGCTCCCTCCACAAATCCCTTGCACAGAAATCCCAACTAGTCTCCGTTTCCAAGGGGAAAAATGTCTCCAAGGATATGTGGCAACTGAAGCAGACGTGTGAGACAGAGGAGGTAGATGAATGGGGGGACGGAGGGACAGAGGGACGGAGGGACGGAGTGTGTATGGGGGTGAGCAGGCAAATGACAGTGTGGACGGGTGAACGAGGAGGCAGGCGAATGAATGGCTAATTGAAGACGAGCTTCTGAGTGCAGGGCTGGAGGGTATGTGTCTCCACATCACATGGGGAACCCCCCTTCCATGTCTGACCACTGCAGGACAATGTCCTCTTTCCCATGGACACGGCTCAGAGCTCACAGCCCCAAGCAGGCAGAGAAATTGGGACCACCCACTGAGGTCTGGGGGGCGGGCATCTGTGAAAGAGGAGGGAACCCCAGCTTACCTGCGAGTCCTCGGACTCGTCTCCCTCCACCACGTTCCACTCCTGCGCCAGCCCAGGCTCTGAAGAAGACAGGCCTGGTAGAGGAGACAGGAGGCACGAGTCAGTGACCAGGCAGCCGGGCTCTGCCTGCCCGTCCCTCCTGGCATCCCAGCCCCGTTCTCCTTCCTGTCACCCCCGCGCGCATGCACTCTGGCCCAGCTGGCCAGAGAACACGAGACCTGAAGTCTGATCCTGTTTCCGTCATGTCCTGTTAGACTTAGACTGTGTCACCTGCTGTGATCTGCCACCTGACTCTCTGTTCCCTCCCGTCAGATGGGTGACACTGACGCTTCTCTACAGGCTTCATGCACAAACCGAGTGAGGGAGCGGAGGGGAAAGTGCGGAATCTGCCGAGAAGAAGTGGAGACATCTTCCCACATTCAAATGTCAACAACCTTCTGGCTCCTTAGCTGGATAGCACGGGCCAGGCCGAAGAGCGCCACTATCCACTCTCCCCGCACCCAGGCCCCACTAGGACCCCCAGCCTCCTCCCCACTGCTAGAACTCATACCCATATTATCCACATCCAGTCCCAGGCCTACTTGTCCCTGGTGGGAGGGGGAAGACCCTGCCCCAGTAGAAGGTCCAGCGCCCATTCTGCTGAGGGGCTGCCTTTCAGGGGTCCCACCATTGGTCCAGCTGTTTGAGCCCAAACCCCAGCAGTTATCCTGGTGGTCTCTCTTGTCCTCCGCCCCCCCTCAGCAACAACTCTTGATTCTCCCTCCCAGATGTGTCTCAAATCTCTGCACCTATGTCCACCACTGCCACACGCGCCTAGGTCCTCTCTCTCCCAGACGGTTGCGGGAAACCCCTATCTGTCCTCCCAGCTTCCACTCCGACCTCCTTGTGCTACGGTTCATCCGCACACACAGCCGGATGCAGGCTGTCTCAGCCTGGGCACCATTGACCTTGGGGGCTGTGTAACTCCTTGTGGTGGGGGTGGGTCCTTGACCTCTGTGACGTGGCGGTGGCATCTTCCCTATGCAGATAACCCAAACTCCAGACTTTATCAAACATCCCCTGGGGAGGGGAGGTGGGGAATAACATCGCCCCCAGTTGAGAACCCATGGGTTAGCAGAACCTTTTCAAAACACAAATGAGATCCTGTCTTCCTCCTCTTCGAAACCTTCCCGTGGCTTCCCAATATTCAAATAACACACTCTGTGCTGTGGTCTCCAGGACGTCGCTGGCCCAGGCTGATCTCTACCCTCTTCCCCTGTGTCCCTGCTCTGTTCAGCACAGCCTCCAGGAACACAGCAAGCTTGTCACCACCACGGAGTCATTGCCGGAGTGGCCTGGCTGTCCACGCGGCGACCCCCAGCTCTTGGAATACACGACCCCTTCTCCTGCCTCTCTCGCCCGCCCTGACCACCCTTGGGTCCCTCTCCATCAATCACCCCACTTTACCGTCTTCAGAGCGCTCATCAGACATTACTTTTCTTTTAATCTCGTTCCTTGTTCATTGTCTGTCCACTAAAATCAGCTCTATGGGGCCATCCTGTTCGCTGCTGGATCCTGAGCCCCCAGCACGCAGTAGGTGCTTCTGATGGGTTTGTCCCACGCGGCCTTCCACTTGCTCATTGATCCCTGTGTCCACACCCCCGGGCAGCCTGTGCCCTCGGGATGCTGAACTTGACCACGTAGCTGATTTTGACCGACGGCCTGTGAGCAACTGGGTGGCCAGCTCCCCCTCTCTCCCCGTAACCACCCCCATGAGAACGTGCCCGGGCTGGCCTGCGGAGACAGCAGCCCCAGGTCGGCACCCTCACACCGGCCAGACGCGCGTGAGGTCGACCGGCTGCCTCCGCCAGCTCACGGTCGGTGGCTGCTCAGGCCCATGCAGGCGGCGGGAGAACCGTCCCCTGAGCCCACATCATATGCTGACCTGCAGAATCCTGAGCGGAGGAGTGACTGTGGCTTTAAGCCACTAAGTTTCGGGGCCACCTGCAGCCCAGCGGAGGCTGATGGACACAGGGCTCCATAAATAGCCGTCCCCGAACGAGTGAAGGAAGGAGTATTGGGTCTTCCCGGAGGCTCAGCCACAACCTCCCCCCCTGTCCCCACCACCCACGGGACCCCTGCCCTCACCTTTCTGGTCACCGTCCCTGCCGGAGGCCCCAACCTGCACAGCTGCCCCGTCCTTGGCGAGGGCGACGCGCTCCTCCCAGGCCCTGGTCTCCCGGGGCAGCAGCGTCTTGGTCCTCTCGGGCTCAAGCAGTCCTCGGATCTGCTCCGGCCTGAGGCTTTGCATCTTTCCGGGACGTAGAGTTTCCAAGGCGAGTCTCTCCTTCTACTCCTGCTCCCGTTGGGTTCCCGGGGCACGGGATTCAGCACCTGGGGGCTGGCAAATGTTTCGTCATTCCACAAATCTTTACGGAGTGCCATCAGTGCGTCGGCACCATTTCTAGGTGCCGGAGACCCAGCAGTGACAGACGCAGGCTCTCTGCTCCTGGGGGGTCTTGCGTTCCTGCGGGTCCCGGGGCGGGAGGGAAGGACGGCATGCCAATGGCTAAGTACCCGGGGGACAAATAAAGTGAGAAAGGGAATAGGAGTTCCAAGGTGGGGGCCAGAGAGCACCCCATCCACACACACGTTCATTCCACGCCCAACGCACAGAGCCGCAAGGTTTTAGGAAGACAGAGTCGCCCCCAGAATCCGTCTCGCTGCAGAGAAAAGGGCCACAGTCTTCCCAGCAGCCCCCAGCAGCCTCACCTTTCTCCTTTGTTGGCATAAAAGAAAACCAAGAAGCATTCCCCAGGCTGGGGGAGTAAAAGTCTAATTTAGAATGAAACATTCTTTAGTATTCTCATTCTAGATCTTCTCAACCCAAAATTCAGGAGGCTGTCTTCCAGGAGTATGGGAACTACACTGGGTTACCCTCCACCCTGAGACTCTAGAGCTAGTTTATGTTCTGATTCTAGGGAACCGTATGCATTATCAGCCTTGCATTATATTAACCTGCCGACGATGGCCCTTGCGAATAGTTATTTTTTGAAAAGGAGTAAATTCCCTTGGTATAGGGAAAATAAAAGCTTTTTAAAGCATTTTCTCCTTTAATTAGGTTTCTTTTAAAGATTTTATTTATTTATTTGACAGAGAGAGATCACAAGTAGGCAGAGAGCCAGACAGAGAGAGAAGGGGAAGCAGGGTCCCTGTTGAGCAGAGAGCCCGATGCGGGACTCGATCCCAGAACCCCGAGATCATGACCCCACCTGAAGGCAGAGGCCCAACCCACTGAGCCACCCAGGCGCCCTTTAATTAGGTTTATACAAATAAAAATTGTTGTATCAAATTTAGAAGCCACAGGGCACACAGTCTAGATTCAAAGACACATTAGCAACTGAGCAGGCAAAAGCACGAGGGGACCGTGTTTGGAGTCAGAGTCAAAGAAACATGGTTACGGAAAAAAAAAACAACACTTTTTTAAGGCAATCAAGGAAACTGATTGTGAACTGGGTATTCGATGATGTCAGGCCTCCTCATCCCTTCTGTTGGGTGTGGAAATGGTCTTAGGGACAGGTAAGAAAGTATCCATCTTATTTTTTTAGAGATCTTTTTGACATGTGTAAGGGTGAGTTGACACGATGGCTGGGATTTGCACTAACATACTTCCGCGGGGCCGCCTGGTGGGCTCAGTTCATACAGCATCCGACTCTTCGTCTCAGGGTTGTGAGTTCAAGCCCCACACTAGGTGTGGAACCTACTTTAAAATAAAGTAAGATAAAATAAAATAATACAATGAAATGAAATGAAATGAAATACTTCTACAGTAAAGGGAAAAGACAGAGACAAGGGATCAGAGCAAACAAAGGATGATTTCCAAACCTGGCAAATGGGGAGACGCGGCTCTTGGGTCTGTTCCTGTGCCTGTGAGTAGACCTGAAATGCTTTCTTATCAGAAACTACCACATACGCTGTGGATATGCAGAATGTATCTTTGCTTCTGCATTACAAATTAGCAGGTAGGTCTTCTATGGACAGGGGTGACTCCCAAACCCTCGAAACTCAAATCTGAATGCGTTTCCCCAGACACCTGCACCCTCTGTCCCCAGCCCCCAGCGCAGCCTTCCTCCTTCCTGACAGGCCTCCACCACTGTCCCCACTGGGCTCCGCCGGCATCGCTGCCCACTTGTCTCCTCACCCGCACCTGCTCTTGTCCCAGAAAATGCTGTCCCCGCTCTGTCCTAGTCTCCCACTCTGGTCCACTCCACCACTGACCCCACTGGTCCCCTCCCCTCACCACAACCCCCAGTCCACCCCACCGGCTTCATGCTCCTCAGGAGCCCCCCTGGTCAGGAGACTTTCAATGCCCCACCCGGCGGGGCAGGGCCCGCTCTGGACATGGCTTCAAGGTCTCCCTCGCCACAGTCCCTACGCTTTCCCTCCTCCAGGACCGTCCAGGATCAAACAACACTGAACCCCAAGGAGGTGAGTTTCCTCCCTCTTTGGCCCCCTCTTCTATTGCTTTTTAAAAATTCAGTTTTGGAAGCGCCTGGGTGGCTCAGTGGGTTGAGCCTCTGCCTTCAGCTCAGGTCATGATCTCGGCGTCCTGGGATCAAGCCCCGCATCGGGCTCTCTGCTCAGTGGGGAGCCTGCTTCCCTCTCTCCCACTCCTTCTGTGCTCTCCCTGGCTCGTTCTCTCTCAAATAAGTAAATAAAATCTTTTTAAAAATTTGAGTCAAGATACACATAACACAAACTTCAAACTCAGAACCGTTTTCCGGCAAACAGCTCGGCAGTACTGAACACATTCCCAGCTCCTCCTACCTCCTTACAGCTGACACTCTATCCCCACTGAACGACGACCCCCCCAGCCCCCGTACCACCACCCCACTTTCCGTCTGTGATGCAGCAGAATGTCCTCAAGGCCGTCCATGGCGGAGCACGCGTCAGAGGTTTCCTCCTTTTTAATAACACGTTTGCTTGTCCGTTTGATGTCGTAGCCATTGTGAATAATGATGCTATGAATATACGGGTATGCAGATACCCCTTGGGACCCTACTTCCACTTCCTGGGGTCTACGCCCTGAAGCGGAATTGCTGGATTGTAGGGCAACTCTGCAATTCTGCAATGTTTTTTCTGGGAACCTCCATGCTGTTTCCCACAGGAGCCACACCAACTCACGTTCCTAATGGTGCACAAGGGTTCCCTTTTCTCCACACCCTCAACTACACTTGTTGCTTCCTAGGTTTTGTTTTTTTTAAGACTTTATTTATTTATTTCAGAGACAGCGAGCGAGGGAGAGAGCACAAGCAGGAGGAGCAGGAGGCAGAGGGAGAGGGAGAAGCAGGCTCCCCACTGAGCAGGGAGCCTAACACGGGGCTCGACCTCAGGACCCTGGGATCATGATCTGAGTCAAAGGCAGACGCTTAACCCACTGAGCCACCCAGGCGCCCCAACCCTGGGTTTTTTTTATAACAGCCATCCTAACGGATGTGAGGGGTTCCACCGCCCGCCCAAAGTCCATAGTCTAGTCTGGAGCTAATCCGCCTCCCTCCCCTCCCCACATCCGTCCTCTCTCTCAGAGACAGCAGTTTCCTGCTCAGAGCAAGCATCCAGCCAGGAGGTAAGGATATTGGTTTGCTTTCTTGTGCTTATTGTCACCGTCACCCTCAGTACCATAAAAAAGGGGGGGGGTACCAAAGATACAGAAGATGTGGTCCATATACACTATGGAGTATTATGCCTCCATCCGAAAGGATGAATACCCAACTTTTGTAGCAACATGGAAGGGACTGGAAGAGATTATGCTGAGTGAAATCAGTCAAGCAGAGAGAGTCAATTATCATATGGTTTCACTTATTTGTGGAGCATAACAAATAGCATGGAGGACAAGGGGAGATGGAGAGGAGAAGGGAGTTGAGGGAAATTGGAAGGGGAGGTGAACCATGAGAGACTATGGACTCTGAAAAACAATCTGAAGGGTTTGAAGAGGGGGGGGGGGGGAGGTGGGGGGAACCAGGTGGTGGGTATTAGAGAGGGTACGGATTGCATGGAGCACTGGGTGTGGTACAAAAACAATGAATACTGTTACGCTGAAAATAAATTAAAAAAAAAAAAGATTACTCTGTTGTTTAAACACACACACACACACACCAAAAAAGGGGGGGGGGGTAGTGGCTTTCCATTTGTAACAAAGTTTCCCTTTGGCAATTCACTGAGAAAGACCGTGAAGGTGCGGCCACTCAGGGGTCTGGTGAGAGTGTATGTGGAGCAACCACTTGGGAAACTACTTGACAAGCATCTGCTGAAGCTGAAGGCGCCGCCTCCCTCCAGAGAAAGGACAACTCGCGCCACAGACACTCACAGGGCGGCACTGCTGTCAGCCTGATCCGTAAAGTGCAGCAGCTCCCGTACACGGACGGCCCCGCTGGCTCTCGGTAAGAGGATGGACAAGTAAGCCGTCATGCATTCGCACAATGGAGTGTTACTCAGAAATCAAGGGTCAAACAAAAAGGACACGCGCAATGACACGGATGAGTGTGGAAATACATGTCCTAAACTGCGTGAGAAGAGCCGGACACAGAGAACACACGCGTGATTTTATTCATTAAGAAGCAAGTATGGTACACGCAAAGAAATGACGTTCGTATCAGTTACTGGCTCGGGCTGGGGACAGGGGAGGGCAAGGTACTTTCTTGGGGTCCTGGAGATGTTCTGTAGCTTGACCTGAGTAGTGGTCCCATGGGTGAAAACATTTGTGCAAATTCACGGAGCTCTGCCTTCACACGCTCTGTGCCCACTGCTCTGTGTGCTCCAGACCTCGCGAAGACAGAAGATGAAAACCAGACACGAACTGGCTAAATGTCGTGGGACTTCATGGTTTGCTGCACATGCCTGTTTCGATCTATAAGTAAATGAGTGGTTTGGAGATCTGCACGTTGTACGCATGTGGCTATGTTGCTCGAACCCGGTTCTGCAGCGTCTTCGACATCAATGTTCACCCAGTTCTGACAGGAAAAGGACGGCGTTTGAGACGGTCTTGGTTTCCCATCTGCTGCAGCAAACTACCACAAGCTGGGTGGCTGAAGACAATGCAGACTTATCTTATAGTTCTATAGCTCAGAGGTCTGAAACGGGTTCCCCTGGGAGAAACTCCAGCTGTCTCAGGGCTGGGTCCCTTCTGGAGGCTCTGGGAGAGAATCAGTCTCCTTGCCTCCTCCAGGATCGTAAGCCTCCTGCGTTGCTTGGTTCCGCGGCTCTTTCCGCCACCCTTACAGCCCACATTGCCCACTTGAGTCTCTCTCCCGCTGCGTCACTGTGATTCTGACCCTCCCGCCCTACTTTCCACTTTTAAGGCCCTTGCGATCGCTTTGGTCCACACAAAGAATCCAGGATCAA